TAAAAAACAAAAAACAAAAAAAAAACACGTGGGCTCCCCCAAAGTCCACGGTATAGTTCGAACACTGACTGTACTACATAGATGTTTTCTGTCAGCTCGATTTTTGAGTGGACTTTGCTGTTCCGATGAGCATGAACGGTATATGAGTGGAGCACACATAGAGCGGATAACACGCAGAGCGTCACACCACGTGAAAGTGAATCCTGCGCAGTGAACTAATTTTCGGCAGCCGGAATTTCAGTGCATCTCTAATTATTGGCGACATCAGAAATTGATATTATATAATAGCTGCTTTTATGAACATTTTAGCAATTTAAAAATATTTACAAAAGGATTTTTTTACACGGCACCCCGGTTGGGAAACACTGGCCTAGACAGTTGTCAAGGAAACCTGTAATATACAATTATTAGGTTCAGGTGTCAAAGCCATTATCACAGGAAAAGCTAACCCTGCATCCCAATGTTCATACTATCCATCCTAAATAGTATGTGAGATTAGAATTAGTGTGTCCCAAAGCAGTTAGTATGTTGAAAAAAGTAGGCTATGCCAAAAGTCCGCGGATGGTCTACTATTTCAGGTAGATTTTTGAAGTGTGGATCCGTGCACAGTGCACACTCTAATGGATAATATTACCCACAATCCATTGCGCTTTGACGAATGATTCGGTTCAGAACTTCAAACACGAATAAAAAGCATTAAAAAACTACAAACATAGTGGATGCGCACGACCGACGGTAGAGAGGTTTAGATAAATGTGTTTGAGTTACTAATTATCCACCTGGTAAAAAAATAAATAAAATTATTTAATGGTGTCTGTGTTACATTTGATCTGCAACAGCAATGTTAACTTTTATAAACATCCGTTTGTTCGTTAACTTTTAAGTGCATCATTATGCACAAAATATGAACAGAGTTCTCTGCATGAAGACCCGCGGCTCGCAGATCAACGTGCTACTTATTTTCTCTCAGATATGGTAGGAAGGAAGTTAAATGAAATGAAATGTGGAGGATGTTAACTGTGACAAGATGCTAACTTCATGTGATGTCCGTTAGCCCCATGTTACTTCATAACTGTTGTTATTCTTTCAATTGCAATAATAAAAAAAAAATAATAAAAAAACTGTGACAAGATGATTGACAGGCCAGTTTACAGTGATAGGATGAGTGTAATTATGCGACAGAGCGCTCCGTTAAAGACGCAACTGTATGACGTTATAGTACAGGGATCCTCAAATCTGGCCCAGGAGATCCACTTTCCTGCAGAGTTTAGCTCTAACCCTAATCAAACACACCTGACCATACTAATCAGTGTCTTCAGGATCATTAGAAAATCACAGGTAGGTGAGTTTGATCAGGGTTGGAGCTAAACTCTGCAGCGCATTGGCCCTCCAGGGCAAGATTTGAGGAACCCTGTTATAGTATTTCCCAAAGCTTTCCTACTCTTCTACTACACACTCAAAAGTGTGTACTTTTTCTTCACCAAAAAAGTACATACTTTAAGGGCGTAGTATAAGTAGGCGCATTGGGACGCAGCAACATTCTGTTCAGTCTTATTAAACTGATTTTGTAAAGCACCTGTAAGTTT